GGTAAAAACATGTAACATACATAGCATATTTTCAGGGTACATATTTTAGAATTTTTTAAACTTTTAGATGTTATGTTAAATCAGGCTGAGTCCAGGTTTTTCTTAGCCCTTTCACAGTGGTCTGTTCCAATGGTCTGTCCCAATTCAGTCTTGGGACTGAAATTTGAGAAAAATTATATCTGATAAGCTTTGTTAACATACAATGGACAAGCCACCTCTGAATGGACAAGACCCCCCACCCATCACATCACCTCCTAACAATTAAAAGAAATAGAAGCACAAGTACATTTAGCCCATAAAACCCTAATCCAAGTAAAACTAATTGATCAAAACAAGGCACAAGGCATTTTTTAGCGTATGCTATGTGAATGGGAACATGTAACAAATCTAAAATAGGTCTTATCCCAATTTGGCTGCGAAAGAGGAAATGTATGTTAAAGAACACAATTGAGGGCAAAACCCCAAAACTTGCTTTCATGAGTTCACAAGTTGTCTAGTTTGTAATATAATTATATAATTTTCTGAAGCCTCACTTTAAAGTTTCAAGAAGCAAAAACTAAGGGGTCTATTCACTATTCGCATGGCTTAGGCCGAACATTCTCGGCATGTTCGGTTGAGCCGAAGTGCAGAAGGAGTTCGACTCAGCCGATCCAACATCTGGATCAGCTGAGCCGAACCTCCGGCAGGCTACTCGCTGCTGTTCGGCCTATTCTTATAGATGCCGAACAGCAGTGAGTGAATAGCCGAATGCCTAGGGACCGAGCAGAACAGAAAAATAGTTAAAAAGTACAAAAAAAGTAAATAGAAAATGATTGTGCGGAGCTAGCAATGACAGCTAGCTCCACCCAACAGTTTTCTATTGGCCGGCGGTTCTGCTGCCGTCAAAAAAAAAACCCGGGCGCTCTGGGAGTCTCCCGCTCCCAGCCGCCCAGGAGAAAAACACTGCTTTTTCTTTTTTTTTCTGGCACCCGCCCTCTGCTGATGGACCTGATGGAGAACTGCAGCAGAGGGCGGGTGCAATGCTAGTTTACTATTGGCTATTGTAAATTGAAATAGCCAATAGGAATCTAGCAATGCATTCATATGGGCAAATTTTTTTTATTTTTTTACTCTGCAAGTGGACGGAGACAGCCGTAAGATCACGGCTGGCTCCGCTCAGCTGTCAGAAGCAGGCTGTCAGCCGGCCAATGGCCGGCCACTCGGCCAGCTTCGGCTTTCAGCGCGGCTCAGCCGAGCCGAGGCATATGCCTTCGGATCGACTGAGCCGCTCGGCTAAGTTCGGGAGCTGTATGGGCTATTGTGAATAGCCCGTACAGCAGCCCTTTGGTTCTACTGAACCGAAGGAGTCCAGGGGGCGAAGCTTGCCGAAGGATCGGCCGAAGCTACGGCTAGATCCTTCGGCTTCTTTGTGAATAGACCCCTAAAAGAAGAGGTTTTATACAGGGATGAATTTGCAGTGGTGTTGATTTACTAAAGGAGTGGAGACCTGCACTGCAAGAGTTAACTGCTCCTCTTTATCTAGGGGCCAGAATAAAGAAGATATACTCACCTGATCCTCTGTGCTGTTTTGGTGAATGCTTACCTCTCTCACTCTCCGCTCTGGCTGTGGTATGTCCAGCGGGGTCCTCAGTCCATCCACTTGCATTAGATGTGATGACATCAGTGGGGCTTAGACCACTGGAGCCTAGCATCCAAGGCGGGATGGAGAATCAGGTGAGTATATTTTAATTACTTGAATCCCTAGGGAAAAACAAGCAGTTAATCCTTGCAGTGTTGGGATAGCCCCACCGCAAGGGTTAATTTGTTACATTCCTGGAGTTCCTCTTTAAAAAAAAAACTTAGCTACACAGACACAAGCGTGTTGATCTACTAAAGGCAGGTAGTCTGTTCACTTTACACTGGAATTTTTCAGTAGCTTAGTAAATGCAGGTAACACTTGCTTTGCAAAGAATACCCAACCATGAGCAAGGAAAATTTAAAAAACTGCATTTTTGATTGCAGGGTATCTCATTCACTAAGATATGGTAATCTTTCCATGCAAAAGTGGAATTTCCCTTGCAAAGTGAACAACCTATTTGCCTTTAGTAAAACATATCCATGGTTTTCACTAATTGATGACCATCCCATCAGTTTTTAGGTATGAAGAGATTCTTAAATCTACCTGGGTGAGAAAGGTTTTCACAAAATGGTTCCATCATTTGTAAAACATTTGTACATATTTCTACACTAAAACTGAAGCTACTTGATTTTGCTGTATCATATTTATGTATGCATATATGTACTGTATGTATAATATATATATATATATATA